AACCCAAACAGAACCACATCTGAACCCAAACAGAACCACATCAGAACGTTTATCTCCAGCAGGAACACTGAGCTCTGACTGTTGGTACCAGAACATCTTACGATGGAGATAAAATCCTTTAAAACATTGAAAAATGTCTCTACACACATCAGTGGTGTTCAGTTAAATCCAGTCCTGTTTGGACCTCCAGCTCAGACTTCAGAACCATCATCCAGAGTTTAAACGGGTCACAGGAAGTTAGACTTTAATGACAGAGCTGCTGTTTTCACATCTTATCACAGGTCACCATGGAGGATGTTCCAGATTTGACCTCAGGATGTTCAACCTGCAGTCTGATGACATCACTCTGACTCCTCAGCTGAACTGTACAATTTTCTTTTTGTTTGTTTTTTTACAAACTTCTTATTTCTACATTATTTCTTCCTCTTCTACAGTTTCTCTGTCCAGCCAAGTATTTCTGTCCAGAGTCTCTGCTGCAGAAATCATGGTTTCCTCTCAGAGCTCAGAGGTCAAACACCAAAAACTCCCATGGACTTCCATCGTATCAGAGCTGTTAACAGGAAGTTAAGGCTCTTTTTTTAACATAGAACCTTGTGGAACCATTAAACAGAACCTGTGGTACCACCAGAACCTTCTGCTGCTTGCAGGTCAAGAAGTTCTTTGATCAGACTTCTAGTTTTCACTCAGACTGTCTGAGGCTTACTTTTTACTCCGTAGTTCTGTCTAAAGTGCTGCTCCTCTAGATTATGTTATATATACACAGACCCTTTCCAAAAATTTAGAATATCATGGAAAAGTTGTTTAACTTCCATAATTACTTTCAAAAAGTTAATCTTTAATAGATGATAGATTCAGGGCCCACAATTTAAACAATTTCAAGTATTTATTTGTTTATTTTTACATAATTTGGGCTTCCAGCTCATGAAACCCACGAAAACAGGATTTCAAAAAATTAGAATACTATGAAAACATCAGCCCACACTACTTCTCAGTTTTTGCAGAAAAAGAAATAAATAAATTAGGATCACAACAAAATCAAAATATGGAACTTTCAAAACGATATGTCAATCTTCAATACTTGGTTGGAAATCTCTTTGCCTTAATCACTGCCTTGATGCAACATCGCATTGAGTCAATCAGCCTGTGGCATTGACTGGGAGTTATGGAAGCCCAGATTTCCTTGATGGTTGCTGTCAGCTCTTTGTTGTTGGGTCTGGTGCTTCTCATTTTCCTCTTGAGAATACTCCATAGATTCTCAACGGGGTTTAGGTCCAGTGAGTTGGCTGGCCAGTCAAGCACTGTGGCACGGGCATCAAACCAGGTTTTGGTGCTTCTGGCGGCATGGGCAGTGGCCAGGTCCTGCTGGAAGATGAAATCTGCATCTCCATACAGATCCTCAGCAGAAGGAATCATGAAGTCCTCTAAAACATTCTGGTAGACTGTTGCAGTGACCTTGGATTTAAGAAAGCAGAGTTTACCAACACCTGCACCGGGCATTGCACCCAAATCATGACTGACTGTGGATATTTCACACTGGACCTCAAGCAGTACGGGTTCTGTTCCTCACTCTTCTTCCTCCAAACCCTTGGACCTTGATTTCTGAATGAAAGGCACACTTTACTGTCATAGGAAAAGATAACCGAGGAACCCGACAGTTGTAGTCCATCTCCCGGATGCGTCTGAATGTGGTGGTTTTTGAAGCTGTGACTCCGCCTCATTCCACTCTTTCTGGATCTCTGCCAGATTCTGGAATCTTCTCTGTTTGATAATCTGCTGAAGCCCACAGTCCTCTCTTTTGCTGGTGCATCTTCTCCTGCCACATTTTGCCCTTCCACTAGACTTTTCATTGATATGCTTGGACACAGCACTCTGTGAACAGCCAGCCTCCTTAGCTATGAACTTTTGTGGCTTACCCATCCTATGGAGGGTATTAATGATGGTCTTCTGGCCAGTTATGTCTGCAGTCTTCCCCATATTGAACCGAACTGAGACAATTGAACCAAACTGAAGCAGTTTAATGACACCTGGGGAAACCTGTGCAGGTGCTTTGAGTTTAGTAGATGATTAGTGTCACACTCAGTTTAAAACATTCATGTCTGCAACATTTGGGCTGATTTCTCCACAGTATTCTAATTTTTTTGTTTATCCTTTTTTCGTGGGTTTCATGAGCTGGAAGCCCAAATTACGTAAAAATAAATGAATTCTTGAAATTGTTTAAATTGTGAGTCCTGAATCTATCATCTATTACAGATTGACTTTTTGAACAGAATTATGGAAGTTAAACAACTTTTCCATGATATTCTAATTTTTTGGAAAATTCTATATTTTTTCTTCCTGTTTCCATCATGCCTCCCCCCAGTGGCAGCTGGTCCATAGGGGCAGTAGAAGGCATAGTTCCTCTTAATGAATACAGTAGTCCCTTGATATACTCAGTAGGACTTTTGCGGCCTTGCTCTTTTGCGGTTTTTCAAAGTAAGATTGTACATGAAAAAAAAATTGTACACGGCACATGATTGTCAACTTTAATATTACTCACGTCATTGGGACAGTACGAGATACTGTACAGTAAAAAGTTAATGAAAAAACATTTTGGACAGGTGCCGCCATTTTATAGTTTTCTCTCAATAATCCCACACCAGGGGTGTCAAACACTTACAAAAGGGGTCAAAATTAAAACCTTTTTCAAACTAAGGTCCAGTTTCAGAATCTACATGAACTCAAATCAGATACTCAACATATTTTCTTGGTCACAGGTTCCTCAACAAGAGTTTGATTGGTCTCATTTGATGTTCTCTGTTGTGTTTTCAACATCATAATCAAATATTACTGAAGTATTTTACGTTTCACATATCATCTTGGGGGCCAGATAAGAGTCAATGAGGGCCACATTTGGCCCCCGGGCCTTGAGTTCGACACATACGGCTTACACTGTATCGCCACTCAAAATGACTACATTTCCCAGAAGACAATTGTGCCCCACCCAGAAGCCCTGTTGCCTTCTACTGAAAAGGAGTGAAAGTTTTTATTAACTGATCTGAAAATGTTTGGTCTTTATTCATACGATGACTTTGATGCCCAGCGGATGCAAAGAACCGCATGGAACCAACCAGAACCAGACCTCCAGACTCATCTGTGAATCTGAGAGCTGCTTGCTGTCCCACAAGGGACTCTCCGGAGTCCATCGGGACCTTTTTCATCCGGATTTGGGCTTGATCTGGACCACACAGGCCATCTGAAGGTCTGGCTCCCTCCAAAAGCATTTTGGCGCTCAAGGGATGCAGAGAGCTGACCAGAACTGGAGCAGGACCGGCAGGGTACGTTGGCCAGACCAGAATCAAACTGCTGTTTCTGCAGAGCTGGTGAGTACAATTTTCCAGTACAGTGTCGTACATACTGTATACATGTACGTATGTTGTTAAAATTATGTAGGTTTAAGAGTTTAGAACATTGAGGGCTTCGTCGCTGCAGTGTAGGTCTGCTGAATTGGAAACAAGCCGGACCAGAACTAAGCTGCGGCTTCTGCAGAGCTGGTGAGTAAATATTTTGCAGTACTGTACAGTACATAAACCTACAAAATTTTAACAACATGTGTATAAGAGTTTAGAACATTGCAAGAGTGTGGGAAGGGTTTATAAAGCCTAAAAATATATAAAAATACAAAATTAACTCCTGCAATAAACAAGGGAATACTGTAATGTAAATTACTAATTTACTGAGCTTGTATTGTTTTGTTTTGTGTATTTTTCAACTATTTTGACAATTTTAAGTGTAATTTGAAGAGTTTTAGTGATTCATCCTCTTTTTAAAACTTGTTTATTTTTATAGGGCAGTACCGTTCATCACCCTGCATTTGTCAAGAGGATCTGAACGTGCGGCCAATGATCCAAACAGGCAAGTCCAGTCAAGTCAGATTTATTTATAGAGCACATTTAAAACAGAAACTGTTACCAAAGTGCTTAACAAAAATATCACAACATCAGATAAAAAGTAGCAAGATATATTTACAGCACATGGAATAAAAATATAAAACCAAAAACAATTAGAAACACTGAAATACTAAATCAGATCACGTTGTGTCAAAAGTCAAGGAAATAATAACAAAAAGCATAAACTCAGTCAGAAACAATGAAATACTAAATCAGATCTGATGACCTTGTGTTAAATAGGAATAATAACAAAAGCATAAACAGAATCAGCTTCAATGAAAAACTAGATCTAAAGCTGATCACCCTGTGTTAAATGTCAGTGAGTACAGACGTGTTTTTAGGAGAGATTTAAAGGCAGAGACTGAGGTGGCCTGTCGAATGTTGATGGGCAGATTATTCCAGAGTTTAGGGCCCACGACTGAAAACGCCCGATCTCCTCTGAGTTTCAGCCTGGTTTTTGGTACGGCCAAAAGCATCTGGTCTGATGATCTCAAAGCCCGAGAAGGAGTATAAGGATGAAGAAGGTCAGAGAGGTATGATGGTGCAAGGCCGTTGATGCACTTGAATGTCAGCAGGAGAATTTTAAAATCAACTCTGACACGTACAGGAACCCAGTGAAGGGAGGACAGAACCGGAGTAATGTGCTCAAACTTGCGAGTTCCTGTTAGTAGCCGAGCTGCAGCATTTTGTACGAGCTGGAGACATGAAAGTGAAACCTGAGTAACCCCAACATAAAGTGAGTTACAGTAGTCCAGCCGGGTAGTAATAAATGCATGGACTAGTTTTTCAAGGTCAGATCTGGACAGAACGAACTTAAGCTTAGCTATCTGCCTTAGCTGAAAGAAGCTTTTTTGTAGAACAGAGTTGATCTGTTTATTAAACTTAAAGTCTGAGTCTAACACTACCCCAAGATTGGTAACCGACTGCTTTAGATGAGGCTGAAGGGAGTGCAGGTTTACAGGATCAGTGACAACAGTAGAGCTTGGGTTAAACACAATGACCTCAGTCTTCTGAACATTAAAACTCAAGAAGTTTGCAGCCATCCAAGTCTTGATGTCATCAAGACATTTTAGCAAAGGGTGGATGGAGCAGGAACTGTTTGGTTTTAAAGGCAGATAGATCTGAGAATCATCGGCATTACAGTGAAACAAAATACCATGTTTCCTCAGGATTGACCCCAAGGGGAGCAGATACAATGAGAACAGAAGGGGTCCAAGAATGGAGCCTTGTGGGACCCCACAGGAAAGAGGGACAGAAGCAGAAAAATGATTGTCAACGTTAACACAGAAACTCCTGTCACCCAGATACGAACGGACTAAACTCTTAAACGGACTAAAAGGATTAAACTCTTTTAGGCAAGCCTAAAAGAGTTTAATTTGGGGCTTCAGATGTGGAAACATTCGGATGGTTTTAGCACATTGATACAATAGACTTGATGTGAGCTCAAACCCAGGAGTTGCTGCAGCGAAACCTGCTGAGGCCAACAGTGGAGATATTCTGTTTTTAAATCCATTTGGAACAAACTGGGGACCAGAACAGAAAACTGAGAAGAACAAAGGAAAGTCAAAGGACATGTTTTTTTCTCCACTATAATAGGACCTTCTTTAAACAATACATAGCATGTGACGTAACACGTCCAGGCACTTTGCCATGAACCACCATGTTAGTAGGCACGCAATAGCTCCAGTCATGGCTAAGTAAGTTTGACCATCAGTGGTTGTTTCCTTTAGGTTCGAGGATGTTCCAACTGGGCAGATGGTTTGACAAAGCGCAGTTTTCACTTCATCCCCAAAATCAGAAAATGTGAAGGACACCCAGGTTGAACAACTGGGAGATCAAGTTAGAGAGACCAGCCTGAGATGGTTTGGACATGTCCAGAGGAGGGACAGTGCATATTGTAGAAGATGTTAGAAATGCAGCTGCCAGGAAAAAGACAGAATAAGTCCAAAGAGGAGATATGTGGGTGCAGTTAGAGGACATTGAGTGAGAACTGAGGATGCAGAGGACAGAGTGAGATGGAGGAGGACTCACTGTGGAGACCTTTGAAAAGGGAAAAGCTGAAAGAAGATGTAACTAGGCAGCGCTCGACTTGGACGTACTTCACACAGCCTTTACAACATCAGTGGATTTCAGGCTGTAACACTCCTCCAGTGTGTAGGTGCTCATTGTGTTCAATAAATAATCAACTGTGTCATTAAGAGACATCGGAGGCAACTTGTGTACGTCGTCTGACTTTCTCTACTATACGGGATATAGCTTACTTTTGCACATCGGTCAATAGTATCAATACACTTTGTTTTGGTTTATCTGAAAGCCATCTTGACTGTTATCTAGAGCTTGCCTACTATAATGTTGGAAAAGTGGCATTTTGCACTTCCGGTTGAAATGTGTGGGAAGTATTGTATGGTTTCGGTTTGAGTGGCCGTGGTGGATCAGTGGTTTAATTACAGTGTTTGTAGGTTTGATTCCCACTTGAATCTTCTCTTTGATTTGGTGATGATAACAGAATGTTTCACTTTATTATGAGTTTAGTGTTACTTCAATTAAACCTTTTGCTCCCGTTTAACTGTGTTAATCTGGAGTTTTATTTCAGAATCATTACATAAATCAAATTGGAAAGCCAGCTCAGAAAGCTGTACAGGGTGAGAAGCGTGATTGGACCGGACTGTTCTTCAAGATTGACCCAGAGGGAGGAAAAAAAAAAACTTGTAGACACATAAAAACAACAATAATGAATCAAATATTACGCAACAAAGCGTTTTTATTATTATTATTATTATCATTATTATTATTATTATTGTTTATTTATTTTAAATAAAAAGAATGTAACAATTTGAAAAAAATGTCCAGGAACCAATATTTTTGCTCAGGAGCTGTTCACATCTAAAAATCCTGAAAACATTCATGCGCCTGGAAATCCCTCTGAACACGCGCGCGCACGGCTCTTCGCAGGTAATTATATAAAAGCTCCTGATCAAATACCGACACTGGCTCTGATGTCATCTCACGGATCTCACCTACATACAAGCGCGCGTGCACACACACTCACCTCCCAAGGTGAGACACGCGAGCTTCATCCATGTGTCCATCCGGGGGGGGGGGGGGGGGGGGGGGGTCTCGTTCTCTGACCGTCCTCAGAGCGCTCTGAGCCGGACACAGGACCCAGAGAGTGTCGCTGAGAAGCTCCAAGAAAGGAGCGAGGCGGGCGATAGGCAGGCGGCCAGTGGGCGGGCAGGAGTCCACGAGACGATGACTCTCCTGAGGAGGAGTGATGGAGAAGAGGAGAAGGAGGATAGAGCTTCAGCGCAAAGGATGAGGAGGAGGAATGTGCGCTGAATCCTGAGGAGGCGCGTGCTGGGTTTGGGTCCATCAGAAAGTTCTCCATGGTCCTAAAGCCCCTGTCGGCTGTTCAGATGGAAACATGACTCTGTAGCTAGTGGAAACGCTTTTGTTTGTTTGTTTGTTTGTTTGTTTGTTTGTTTGTTTGTTTGTTTGTGACCAACAGTGGTGGGCTAACATGTTTCTAGTTAATGTTTGACCTAAGGTGGTAAACTGAGGAAGAGTCCGAGAGAGTTACTAAAAGAAACGTCTTTATTTTCACACGCAGGTCTTTGTGGGCTGAAAGGGAGGATGGGACAACGGTGAGTGTTTGGAGAAGTCTTGAATTTTTCCCATTCAGAGAAGGAGGTCTTATTGAAAATGTCTTTTCTTGTGGTTGGAGTCCGAGGAGAGGTTTGCGAGGCTCTGGTTCCAGGTCTTTGGTTTGGAGAGAAGATCAGGTTTGAGTTGAGGCTGAAGGCTTTGAAGGGACTCAAGGTCGAGGTCTCAAGGAGGCCTTGGAAGGCTAGAAGAGTCCAGGACTTGGAGGTCTCATTGGCAGGATAATGTCCCAGCGCTGAAGGAGTGTCTGGCTGAGGCTTTTACAGAGAAATACTCCAAATCAGGTTCAGGTGTGTAGCAGTTGATTGGCACCTGCTCCAGCTGTGGGAGAGAGTGAATGTGGCTGGAAGAAAACCAGAACTCCAACATGGGCACAGTTCTGCTAATCTGTTAAAAGATAATAGCACTTTTTTTTTTTTTGTTTAGTAGACAAGTGTTTTCACTAACTTTAGAAATTTAGAAATAGTTTCTGCTAAATTATATTTTTTACCCTAACAAAGTCCACTAACAAAATTCACAACCTTGTTCCAGTCTGTTGTGGGCGTGTCTCTAATAGTCCGTTGGGCACGCTATTGGCTGGCTACGTGTGCACGTGACAAGATCTGATTGGTCGACGCAGCTTCAACTAGAAGGAGATGAAGACATGCGACAGTCGTTGTGGTGGTCCGTGGTTTAGCGTTTGTTTCTGCAATTTTTTTTTCTTTGACCTGTTTAGTCGCTTAACATTAGTGAAGCTAAATTATTTTGTTATTAGAATATGGGTTGGCAAAGCTAGCTTTTTAGTTAGCTGCGCCCACCATTGGTGACCAGTTTAGCATCCAACATCAAGCATGCAAAGAGCTCAAGTGGGATCATGTGTCCACAGGACAACTATTTTTTTTCCTCTAACCTGGATTTATAGAAGAGAAACAAGGAAAAAAAACACAAGACGTCCTGCTTGCAGTATGTCACAAGCCACACCGTAGACTAAACGCGTGGAACAAACCTAACACTGTCCATCACCCTGAACACAACATCCCCACAGCGCAGTGTTGGCAGCATCATGCTGGACATTTGTCCTCAGCAGGGACAGGGACGCTGGTCAGAGTTCATGAGAAGATGGACGGAGCTAAATACAGACCAGTCCTGGAAGAAATCTGTTGGAGACTGAAGAAGACTTGAGACTTCTAGCTGGATCTACGAATGGGTCCGATCAAAGCCCGGTCAGAGTCCAAACCAAGATCCAACTGAGAACCAGTGACATGACTTGAACACTGTCCACAGACTAAACTGCAGGTATTTTATACAGAAGAAGGGACAACATGTGTAAATCTGGTGGAGACAAACCCAAAAGACCTGCAGCCAAAGGTGGTTCTTAAAGTACTGCCCATTTCAGGTGATACACTTCAGATTTATCTGTGAAAAAATAAGTTTCTTCTACTCTCTGTCAGTCTGTCAAAAACCCAGTGAAATACTCCCAACTAATAAAGTTTCAGAGGATAGGAATATTAATTCAGAGTTCAAAAGACAAATTTATGTAAAGCATCAGTTCCCTCGGCTGCTTAGGAAACACCACTGCACACACACAAATCTAATAGATGTTTGGGACATGGAACGTGCAAATCTACCAAGAGCAGGCCATCCTCACAAACTGAGAGATGGTGAAAAGGTGAGAGACCACAAGAGACACCTGAGACCACTGCGGAGGAGGAGGAACAAGCTTCAGCAGGAGAGACTGAGCATACAACAACTGTTGCCTCAGTTCTTCACCACTCTAAACAGCATGCGAGAGAGGAAGACGCTGATGAAGAGAACTCATTAACTCTCCAGTTTGACAAACTCTTTGACAGCACAAACACTAAACAGATTCAGAGGATTACATAAAACTTTACAGAACAATGTGGACATTAAAATGAAAATATTTTAAAAACTGTTACACGCTACCATGTTCTCATGCGTTTGTGTTGAGTTTTTCAAAACAGAAAGTGGCATTTAAACCCTGGAGAAATAACTTTTGCTTTAATTTGTTGGAGATTTGTAGTAGGTAAAGCTCACGATGGCACCAAAAAAAAAAAAAAAAGGTTAAGAACAACAACAAAACAAAAACTAGACTTCTATTCTGAAGCTGAAGATGTCCGCACCATCAAGGAGGCTTTATCAATTAAAAATAATTGATGTTACCATGTCTTCGCTCGTGACAGCCTCAGAGAGACAAGAAAAGACTAACTAAAATCAAGAAAATGTCAACTAAAATAATGACATTAATAAAAAATACAATTACAAGCTTTGAGAAAAATAAAATGTATACAAAGAAGTTGACATAGAAAACTATTATTTTAGTTTGACTTTGCCTTTTTCCTGTGGGGTTCCACAGAGCTTGATTCTTGGACCCCTTCTGTATTCACTGTATTTGCTGCTCCCTTTGGGATCTATCCTGAGGAAACATGATCTTTCTTTTCACTGTTATGCTGATGATTGTCAGATTTATCTCCCGTTAAAACCCATTTCTTGATCAATTCCCCCTTTGTTAAAATATCTTGATGACATCAAGGCATGGATAGATTCAAATTTTTTACGTTTCCGCGATCAGAAAACTGAAGTGACTGTGTTTAGCTCTAGGTCTCTGTTCCTGTTAACCTTGACTCTCTTGAGCCATGTCTTAAGCAGTCTGTTCTGAATCTCAGGATGGTTTGAGACTCTGGCTTTAAGTTAAATAAACAGTTCTGCAGAAAAGTTTCTTCTTCCAGTTAAGGCAGCTAAGCTTAAGTCCGTGTGGACCAGATCTGACCTTGAAAAACTAGTCCCTGCCTTTATTACAACCTGACTAGACTATTGTAATGTTGGGGTCACTCAGATCTCCCTTTTACATCTCCAGCTTGTCCAAAATGCTGCAGCTCAGCTCTTAACAGGAACTCGTAGGTTTGAACATATTTCACCAGTTTTATCCTCCCTTCACTGGCTCCATGTATCGGAATAGATTGTAAAATTATTCTGTTGACCTTTATGTCTAAATGGCCTTGCACCCTGTCTGACCCACTGCAATCATGGTTGGACCAAAAACTAGGCTGAAGCTCAGAGGAGATCAGGATTTTTTAGTCGTGTGCCCTAAACTTTGGAACTGTCTGGGTTTTCAAGGCAGACCAGGACAGGAGAACCCAGTTGCGCAGGCAGGACTCAGGAGACAGATGTATAAAATAAAATACTTTTAATAATAATAATAATAATAATAAATCAAAAGGCTGACATGGCAGCAAAACTTACAAAAACAGATTCAGGAACAGGATCAGACAGGCAGGACAGGACAGGCAATACCCAACGACGAACCGACAACGACAGAACTAACAGACTGACTTTATATACACAAACAGGACATGACACAGGTGATGATAATCAGACAATCAAAGCAGAGACACAAGGGAGAACAGACAGGGGAAGGCCCACTAGATGGCGCCATCCCTACAGGAACAGTCAACATTAGACAGGCCACTTCACTTTCTGTTTTTAAATCTCTTTTAAAAACTCAACTGTTTTCTCTGGCTTTTAACACTGATTTGATTTATTGTTTCATTGTTTTGTGTTTTTAGGTTATTGTTTTGATGCTTTAAATTATTATTTTTTTATTATTTTTTATTTACCATACCATTTTATTATATAGAGCACTTAAATCAATCAACCTTTATTTAGACAGGTAAATCCCAATTGAGCCTCGAGGACTCATTTAAAAGAGAGACCTGATTTCAACAAAGAAAGATGACAACAAAGGACAACAGCAACAACAATAAACAATTATAAAAAGTCATAATACAGGTTTTTTATTTTATTTATTTATTTATTTTTTTACAAATAGGATGGCTAAAAGGAAAAGGTAACAAAAAAAACAAAAAACAGCTAGATTCTAAGGCGAATGTAGAAAACTAAAAACAGGAACATGTCTGCATTGGTCCTTGCCAGGAGTCCAACAGATTCTTAAAGCCACTTAGAGAGGTCAAGGTCGAGAGCTTCAAATCTTTTTGTAAGATATTCCAGGAAACAGGAGCAGAGTAGGAGAAGGCCCTTTTGCCAAGTTCAGTCCGCACTGAGGAAACACTGCAGGTAATAATGTTCTGAGAGCGCACGCTGTAGCTGCACTCACGCAGAGACATGTAGGAGGAGATGTATGAAGGCAGCAGACCAAGAAGTGATTTAAAGATGAAAATGTACCAGTGAGAGAGTCTGCGTGAAGTTAATGATGTCCAGTTAACCAGTGAATACAGGGTGCAGTGGTGGGTATGATAATCACAGCCAGTTATGAATCTTAGTGCACCATGATAGACAGCATCCAACATTTGCAGGGTTCTTGTAGGAGCGTTCATGTAAATAATGTCACCGTAATCAATGGAGGGAAGGAAGGTCACAGATACAAGGCGTTTTCTAGCATTCAGGGTTAGACAGGATCTGTTTCTGAAAAAGAAACCCAGTTTAACTTTCAGTTTCTTTACCAAGTTTTCCACATGGAGTTTAAAAGAGAGATGTGAGTCGACCAAGATACCCAAATATTTATAGGAATCAACAAACTCAATGGGGACACCATTTGAGGATAAAATCGGAGGAAGAACTGCTGGGACCAACTTCCTATTTGAAAAAAGCATCCCTTTGGTTTTGTCGGCATTTAGGACAAGTTTGAGGCGGAACAAATCAGTCTGGATGTTGTTGAATGCAGAATTCAAAAGCTGGAAAGCCTTAGCAACAGTTTTAGCTCGACAATAAACAACTGTGTCATCAGCATAGAAATGTATGGATGCATTAGGGATGTTTTTACCTACATTATGTATGTAGATTGTAAAGAGGGTGGGTCCTAAGACTGAGCCTTGTGGTACACCATTGTTGACTGTTAAATAACTGGAGGAAGTACCAAACAGCTTAAAACAGCTACAAGGCCAACCAAAGTGCTGTACAGACAGAACAACAGACAACACACGAAGCAATCTACAAAATGAAGTAAATCAAAAATATAGACATAAAAATGATGCAGATAATAAATATGACGACAAACCAGTGTGGAGCGTACAGGTTCACAACACAGATCATCTGGTGTTGAAAGCTACTGAATAGTAGTGAGTTTTTAAACGGGACTTGAAAACTGAGAGGGAGGGGACCTGTCTGACAAGCAGAGGTAACTCGTTCCAAAGTCTTGGTCCTGCTACACAGAAGGCCCTGTCACCTCTGCGCTTAAGACAAGTTCCTGGAACTGTGAGGAGCAACTGGTCCTCTGACCTCAGGGAACATGGTGGGACATACGGTTGTAGCAGATCAGAG